CATCCATACATCCATACATCCATTAATTTCCGGTGGTAGACCTGAGAGTGGCGCTAGTGTGTTTCAGTTTCCATCACTTCTACGACTGATCTAAACGCACTAAATCAGGATAGAGTAATTCCGTTTCTTTCACTGAGGGTTAGGTGGGTAATCTGTAGGTTGGTAGGTAGGACAGATGTGTTTAAAGAGGCATGGCGTCCTCCGAGATACCTCCTCCATCTATCAGGCAGGAGGTGCGGATAGTCCCGCCGGATGGCTCTGTGTCCAGGGTGGTTGTTAAGGACTTGTTGGTGCAGGTTTCCCTGCTGTCAGTGCCATCCACGTGGATCCCCGTATCCGGTGTTCCGCCGTTCATCCAGCTGGAAAACAAGCTCCGTAGGTTTGGCAAACTGGCAAGCGGTTCTCCGATCAATCAATTTGGGATGTAAAGATCATAAACTGAAGCATGTCCAGTCTTTGATGCGGCAGGTATTCATGTTCCTGGAGTCCCCCACACAGAGACTGGTGTTGTCCTTCAGGGTAAAACACGGGGATGGGCTGTACATGTGTGGAGATGTTGGACACAAAAGATCTGCATGTCCACACAAACAGAGTTATCCATTGATAAGGCAGTGGAGGAGCAAGAGGAAGCAGACGGGCTCCTGCTGTCTTTTAGAACACCTGAACTGTGGAACTTCTCGGAAGCATCATAGAAGAGCCTGTATGCTGTGTCTGTGAAGGTCCTGAACAGAGCGATGCTGGCAGGGGTCAGAGAGTCGAGGTGGTCTGATGTGTTGGTGCCAGCTTCATCTCCCAGGGGCAGCTGAAGGTCTCTGTACAATCATCAGCCCACAAAGGTCACTCTGCCTCTTTTCATGCCTTTATGAGGCCTCTCAAACTCAAACTGGACCAACTGCACCAAGGAACCGGAAGAGTACCGGTGGAGGGTTAGGGTTCTTAGAGGGCGCGTTCACTCATCATTAAAGGTCCCATTAAAATAAGCTTCTGCTTAACCTCTGAACGTGAAAATGGTAGATTTAGGTGAGAGTTGAAGTTCTTCGCTGGCTGTTGTGTATTTGCATTCAGCTGCTCAGACGTTAGTCTGCATGTTTATGTTTATGTTTATGTTTATGCATTTGGCAGACGCTTTTATCCAAAGCGACATACAGAGTAGACACAATATTACATTTCTCATCACTATGACAATAAGCTATATAGAGGAGAAACACTGATCAGAGTCAGTGGTGAGATAGAGATAGAGGTAGAGGGACTACAGAAGGAGCTGTGGGGGTTAGAGGTATGGGTTAGGGTTAGGATAGGAGCTGTGGGGGGTAGAGGTACGGGTTAG